CAAATTTCCTGGCATAAGCTTCCACTCCTGACTAGGCCTTTCTTCCTTCTCTGAAATAAGCATTTATACAATGATGATCACAATTTTGAAATAAAAAAAATATTTGTGTTTACTTGCTCGTGGCTAGTACTGAGTTTTGTTTGCCTGCTTAAAACAGACCTTTTAACAGCATTCATCAGGAGTAGCAGAATTCAGAATTACTGACAGTGCATCTTATAGTGCATCTCACTCAATATAGCCAATATCAGACTGGCAGCTGAGCTCCTAACTTTCACTGAACCCATGCCTGCTGTGCTTTGTTGCAGGTTATGGACACACAGTGCCTTTATCTGATGGGGGAAAGGCCTTCTGCATCATCTACTCGGTCATCGGGATCCCGTTCACGCTGCTGTTCCTGACGGCCGTGGTGCAGCGCATCATTGTGTACGTCACCAGGCGCCCGGTGCTGTACTTCCACATCCGCTGGGGCTTCTCCAAGCAGGTCGTTGCAATCATCCATGCTATGGTCCTCGGATTCATCACTGTCTCCTTCTTCTTCTTAATCCCAGCAGCAATATTTTCTGTCCTGGAAGATGACTGGAATTTTTTGGAGTCATTTTATTTTTGTTTCATTTCCCTGAGCACCATTGGCCTCGGAGACTATGTGCCAGGAGAAGGCTACAATCAAAAATTCCGAGAGTTATATAAAATTGGAATTACATGTAAGTATCAAACTAACCAGCAAAGTAAAAGGCATTTTATATTAAAAATAAAAATATCAACATCAAACTGACAATCAGACTTCTCTCCATTCTGTGAATAATGATCACTTGTCAGCTAGAAACTGGGCATTAATTTTGGTAGCTCTGTAAAGAGGAAACTGTTAAGGTCAGTTTTCTTAGTTAAGAAAGAAAAAGCTAAAACTAGAATTCTATTATTCTAACCATAGCTATTTGCTCTCTTATTAATAGTAGGAAAAAAAAAACCTCCCATAACTGTTATAAAATGGTTAAGACCATCTTGGGCTTACATTTCAGTGCATTGCAGAGCCAAGGCTATCCCATAAGGTTAGATGACAGGTGGAAGAAATGAATCAAGAAGCCATGGAAAACGAGGCGGAATAGCAAAGTTTCTGACTCCAGTTGAAACAGAAGGTAGCTGAAGCTGGCATTGCTACATACCAGCTGTCAGAGACAGACAAGTAGACTGAGATGGTAGAAAAGCAAGACCATGAATGCTAAATTTAAATTGCTTCATTTTATTTGACACAGAAGAAATCATAGTGATCAGTGATTTTAAGAAGAAAATTACCTTTATTTTGGTATTTGGAGTAAATATATGCTGAGGGTGACAGCAACAGTGTTTTGAAACATGGCAGTTTCTCATACAGCTTCAACCTGAGCAGTCTTTGGGTCATCAGAGGCATCGAGGCTGGCCTTCATTAGACTAAGCTTCTGTGCATGATCCAGCAATCATAATGTAGGCAGAGAGTCTGTTAGCTTGGTTTTGTGTTGTACCTGAAGAGAGGTTTTTTCCATTCTTTGAATCGGGGCCTTGAAATAGCCAACAGAACACTTTGGTTTATTATCTTGCTAGGCCTGTTGCTGTTGCAGATTTTCTCCTCTCTCTGTCATGTTTATCTTATAAATGGTAGCTTTTAAGTATTAACCTGCTGATCTGCAGAGTTGATTTTGGGGATGCTAAGTGGTGAAGTGAATGGAAAGTCACACATGGCAAAGGCCTTGTTAAAGACTTGCTGTTCTGAAAAACTCGAAATCGGAAGAAAACATTAAGGGCTTATATTAAAGCTTTTTCAAGCTGTACAACAATTAGGAAATAAATTGCAGGAAATACTAAAAGGAAAAAGTAGCTTTTAGGCAAAGTTATGACCTTAGAATATCTAATTTCAATAGGTTTTAAGGTTATAACTTTTAAATTACTCTTTTTCCTTTCATGCAAACAATTCAAGGAACCAAATAAAATGTTTTCTCCTGAACCTAAATTTTCTGTAAGATATTTTGTTCTTCTACATCAGAAAATGCTTCATGAGTACTACAGGCTTTTCAAGAATTTTTAGAAGAGCACAAGTTTTGTTCTAAATCAAGTGGCAATCAAATGGACTGAGTTTCAGAGATAATTACAAATTCTCAATGCAGATTTATGTATGCTTTTCAATTGATATAGCTTTGTTGGTTCTTCCTTGTGTTAATGCGTAGCTCTCATTTGATGCTATGATATAAAGTTTAAAAACAATTAATAAATTTTAGATGTAGTGCTGATTTAGATGAGAATTCAGTATTAAAAAATTGATTAATGGTACTCCTGGAACAAAAAGCAGAGTGTTCCTGCCAGTGAATAATCTGTAACTACAGGTGAGATATTTATGCCCTTAGGTAACAGGACAATGACCATATGGAAGTTATAATCATTAATCTATGTTGATTTTTCAGCACACTTAATGTGCAGCTCTTGGAGAAGTGCATTCTGCTAATGGTTATACACTTAGCTTCTGCTTCATTTACTTCATTGAACTTATAAAATAAATAAGTAGTCATGCTCCTTATTGAATTGTAATGAACAGAGGTAGGGATCTAATTAAACACTGAGATTAATAAATATTCATTTTAATACCTTCCTTTAAACTAGACACATTTATGTTTGGAGAATATAAAAAATAAAAAAGAGCACAGTGTACTGCTGGTCATAGAGATCTCCATTTCCAAAAGTCTCAGTCTATGAGAGGTGGCTATTACCTCTAAAAATAAGTCAGTCAGTACATGGCTAAAGTAATTTTTAATATATTTTAGGTAACACTTCCAGGTTTTGGGTGATTTGTGTGCCTTAGACAAACATTGCGTAGGTGCCCAAAAGATGGAGTAACTGTGTCAGGTTTTTCAAATTCCAGGAGTAATTTTACAGTAATTTTTCATTTTGGTTTTATTTGGTTTGTACGTGTCTTTAGTAGCTTTGTTTTTCCAGGTATTTCAGGGTGTTGTATGTCTAATAATTTTAGAGGAAAATAATTCTGAAGTTTTCATGAAGTAGTAAGTGATTTGTTCTGCTAAACTGATACAAATAACCAATGACCATAATTAGCTCCCATATTTTTACTTCTGCCTGTAATATATAGGAATATTGTGGTAAAAGTTTTTATCTTCCATCTTTTATTCAAACTCTTTTGAAGGGCACTTAATCATAAGTACAGGAGTGTGCATATGGTAGATTTTTATTGTTATGGTTTTTTAATACCTTTACATATTTGTTTTTTTCTCTTGCACAGTTATACCAGATTTGAAGCCACTAGTATTACTTTTTCTGTTTATGTGGAATCTTCTGGTTGTAGAATTAATAAAGGGAAAAAACCAAGGATATCACAGTTCAATCTGTGTAGTTATGTCATAAAGAAAATTGACATACTAGTCAGAGAGGACAGGGGTGAGAAAAGTCAGAAGCTAAAGACTGGTCCAGTCCTACCTAGTTTGCTAATAACTAATTTTTTTAAACTTTTTTTTTCCCCACTCAGGTTATCTGTTGATGGGCCTTATCGCAATGTTGGTGGTTCTTGAGACTTTCTGTGAACTCCATGAACTCAAAAAGTTTAGGAAGTTGTTTTATGTGAAGAAGGACAAGGAAGAGGACCAAGTGCATATAATGGAACATGACCAGCTCTCCTTCTCTTCCATCTCAGACCAAGCAGCCTCCATGAAGGACGATCAGAAGGCAAACGAGCCTTTTGTGAATTCCCAGTCTCCAACTTCCAATGACAGCTCTCTAAACAATTAATACACGGGTATCCATACCAGTGTTTTGGTGCATTTATGCTACTTACCATAAGAAATAGAAAGCCTCATTTTTTTTTCTCAAATTATAAAAGCTGGAAGACTGTGCTATTTTAACAAGGATTTATCACTTCTGTCATAGAAAAAACTTCTGGGAAAAATGTGGGAGCCACCCTGGGAAGAGGAAATAAATGTAAGATGTGGCTGGGAACATAAGGCCATTTTGGTTGAGGGATAAGGATTTAGGTGTACCACATTCAGAGATGCCAGAGAGAAAGGCTTGCACAAGAAACTTCATTAAGCATCTTTAGGAGACTAGGCCTTCACTGACATCCAGCTCATTGAGTTACATGCCCCATCTTGCAACTGGTTGACAGCAGATTTTGGGATGTTCACTTTTGATAGTCACAGTTTTAATCTGACATTTTCAGAGCAATATCTCTAGATCTGGGGGAGGGGGGAATATCTAGGTCATCCCTTTATTACCCAGTAACTTGCAGGTGTAAACAATTATTTTAGGAAGGAAAAAATAAGACTGCAGTCCCTCCTTTGCCTATGGCATTTACATCTAAATTTCCTACTTCCTTATACGTCCTCCAGTCACCAGAAAAATGTCCTGAAGAGAGTGTGCCTTGGGTCTTCCATGCTGTTTGTTTTTTGTATGAAATATTTTTCTGAGGGATAGAAAAAGCAATTCAAAGGTCTGGATGAGGTGAGATGGTAGGGAAGGATGACAGATGCATTTCAGTCTTCTGAAATGGGCAGGAGTTGGGTATTTAGTTGTGTGGAATGGAATGAAAACGACTCAGCATATGCCACACATGACTGGCACAGTCATGTGCTTGTGGCATTCTCCTAATAGATGGTTGAAATCTGCTCAGCAGAAGGAGTCGGTGCTGTTCCTCCCACAGTCCAGCCCGGCGTGTGCTCTGCTGAGCTGGTGGGTACACTGAGGAATAGAAACAGCATCACCTTTGAACATAGCTCCTATTTCTTCTCTTGCTTTTCTAACTGGTACTCGGAACACTTTGGACGAGAAGGGAACGTTTCAGGGCAAATCAATTTTTCAGTTTTTCGTATGGCAAGAAAAAAGGAAAAATGTCACATTTGGTTCAGATGGAACCGATTTTTTTTCCCCTTGGGAAAAGTCACTAAAAAGTCAAGATCTTGCTCAACTTCTGAAGCTGGAACCTCTTTGACTATAACAGGAGAGGTGTTTTAGTCCAGCTACCAGTCACTGTGCTGAATGCAGGGACCTCAGAGTGAATTTCAGTGAGCATGAGATGAGATTTAAGTGGTTGTAGTACTTTCTCTTCTGGCCTTAAGAATCTTACAGTAGGAGAATCTTGGTTACGCTTTGCAATGAACACAAGATCTGGAGCACAAATAGCCATAATAGACAGCCTCCCACACAGGAACAATGTAGAGGAGAGCCTTTTACCTGCAGTGCAAGCATGCCAGATTGCCTGTAATTTGGCTTTTAGTGTTTAGAGCTAAATAATAATTCATTGTAAAGAAAACAAATGCAGTGTGTCTAGATTTAGCGCACGTGGGAAAAATACTTGAAAGTAAATAACCCAAAATATACTGTGTTTGAGCTTAATTATAGCTAGCATCAAACAATTTTTTATATCTTTACTGGAAAAACTTACTTTATGGTTAAATCAGTTGAAAGTCTTCAATTGAAATTTATATTTGTAGAAAATCAGAGCTAAAGGTTTTGGTTGTTTTGAGTTTTATTGATTAGGTGAGAGCATATTATGTTTGCATGTTCCCAGGAAAGTGGCTATTTTTATACTGCTTAGGTTAACACAGTTCTATTTATAATGAATGTTAACCAATATATATGTACATATATACATAAATATATTTATATACTGTACATATATCATAAATCAACAGAGTCTAACAGACTTAGGAAAGGCATTTTAGATAATTTTTGCCCTAGTCTTCTCTTTATACAGTCAATATTTGAAAACTATGGCATTAAAATGACACTGACATAAAATTAAGAGTACTGTACTATAAGAAACATTTATACTATTTTTTTCTGTGGAACTTTATTGATTGTTTTCAGTACCTTAAAATTCAAAATGTATTTTAATTTCTGTGTCATGTTAAGCTCTAAAGGATATGCACAGATGTTAAATGATATACAAAGTTACTTTTGCAGCGTGTACAGAAATGCAAAATGTAGACACGTGAAATGAAAGCACAGAATTCAAAGCAGAAGCGATAAACTAAGCAGTATACTGTGATTGTAGGTGAATATTTGTTATTTTAAACTTAAATAAAACGTCTGGCTTTTGCCTGTCTGCACTATGAAGTGGGAGTATTTTCTTTAGTGGCATGTGTGCCTTGAAGAAATCCTGTCTATGTTTGTGCATCCTTCAGTTAGCCTTCCTCAGCCTAAGGAGGCTCTATTAATGCTAGTGTTGTACCTAACCTTAATATTTTTGTAGCTTAGTTATTCCTTTATTCCTGGTTATTTCTTAAAAAAAAAGAACAATCCAAAGTATGTTTGGTTTTGTTTCAGATGCTGACTGATTATAGCAAATAAAAAACAGTGACATAGCATTTATCCTGTCCTTATGAACCAACTACTCCAGTATTTGAGAAATCTGAAAAACGGATGAAAATAATGGCCCTCACTTCATATAGCTTTTACATCTTCACATGAAGCCAGCATATAAGATGAATTGAAACTGGAATCCAGATAAGAAGAAGAAAAATTATCATGCAAGAACCTCAGGATAGCGCATCCCTTACCTAGAGGCAAACTGTGAAGCAGGTAAACCCAGATGAAGAGCTTGGCTCGTAAAGCAATAGTGCTGAAAAAAAAACACAAGAGAGAGTTAAAAATGCAAGCAAATTACTTGTACACATACAAGAATTGTCTGGGTTCTGTCCTCACTTTCCTGTCTTGAATTGTTGCAGGCATATATCTCATTAATAGCTTTATTCCTGTGCTACAGCTGACATTTGCTGTCTTCTCTTTGTCTGTCAGTCATTAAATATAAACTTGTTTTATTGTTATTTCAAGGGAAAGGGCTGGCAGGATATTCATTATGTTGGTGGAAAGAAAATGGAAAAGCCTACTCGAGTTTTGATTTTGGAGCTGAGTGACAGCCATGTTGTTCCTTAATGAATGTGTTCTCTTCCCAAAGTTTCTTCCCAAGGTTCACCAGTGGCACCTTGTGTGGGTGCTGAAGACTTGCTGGAGGTTGAAAGGAGTTATTTTCTAAGTAGGTAACTCCAGGGGCCGGGGTGGTTTGCAGCTTTAATGTCAGCACTGCAAAACCTCCCTATCTGGCTGCTTATGTCAGAGGAGTTGTATAAGACCAGCAGTTCTGGATTTCACGAAATATTTGTCTAGCCCAGCGTTTTGTCTCTGTCAATGGCCAGGATCATGATGTGAACTTGTGCAAGGAAGGGGCAAGTGTGTAGCAGCCATTCCCCAGGATGTTCTTCTAGCTCCCAGCAGTGTGCAGCTCTGGGACAGTATCTAGGAGGGATGGGAAGTCAATGTTGGTGTGGTGTGTGGAAGAGATTCTACAGTGAGGTGCCTGCTCTCGGCTTTGGTCAGTGAGAGATTGTCCTGCCCAGGATCACATGGAGATTTCCCACAAAGCTGTTTCAAGTTTGGTGCTTTGCAGTTAGCAGGTAACTTGCATGGAATGGGCCCTTGAAAAAGGGAAGGAAGGGGAAAGAGGAAAGTCTTTTATGTGCTGTTACTTGGAAAGTGCTGTCCTCTGTGTAGGTAGGAACTTGCACAGAACCTGTTTGCTAATGCCAAATCTTGAATTTCCATGTTACAATTTGCTTTGTAAACAGTTGCCACAAATGTAGTGAGATGAACCATAAGTTGCTAAAAATACCACTGCCCTAATGTTATTCCATTATTCATTCTTCTAGGTTCTGCTTTCTACTGAAGCAAAATAAAATTACTATAATGGGAAGTAGTGTTATTCCAAGCATACACAAGTACAAGAAAATAAGAGTTTCTTTTCTCTGCACTACTGTCAGTATTGCTTCTAGATAGCCAAAAAAAATTCTTGTTGCTTGTTTCAAATAGAAACCATATTTTTGAGATTCTGGAGACTGCCTCTGCAAAGTTGTGTCTTGCTTAATGCAGATTAGGTAATTGGTGTTTGTAATTTTAATGCCTATCATGTCAGTCTCATTGCTTTCTAAGTTACCATTCTACTTACTTTTTATCACTGAGTTCTCCTCACAATTACCTTCAAAGGTTATCATGTTGCCACTGAGTGTGAGGACGTTGATGCAGTTGTTTTCTGGTGATGATGCAGGTTTGCCAGGGCCATTGCCATAGCTGATAACAAGACAATCTCACTCGTGGCAGTTGGGGCCAAATGACAGATTTAGGTAATGAGGAGGAACAGTGTGGCTGCGAGCAGGTGCACGGGCTGACAACCAATGTCAGGGAGAAATCATCCTGGCAAACTGCTACATGACCGCACAGTTTTTGCCGGGCTTCATTGCCTGTCACTAGGATTTAGAGGAAGGAAGAGCAAGGACACTGCCAAAAGTCATCTGAAATGAAGTTTAATGGAAGTAAGTTTTTCACCCTTTATCTACATTTATCTGCAGCTCTCTTACTTCAGTCGCACCATATATTCTATGAATCAGGATAATGGTTTGGCATTTCCCCAGTGTAGATGGCTCCTGTGGCCCCTGAGGCAAGTTGTGTTTGTTATCCTAACAAGCTTTTTCTGTCTTAACTTTACTTAGTGTTCAGACCCATGAGCAGAAGCGTAGGTCAGTGTCACTGCTGAAACTTTCCAAGGCCAAAAGTGGCTCAAGGCACTGCCTGGCCTTGGGTCAACCTTTCATTTTAGTTCCTAGCCTGTCTGGAAAGACAGAAATGAACTCTCTACCTTAAAAAGTGAGAAACCCACTCTTCTGGGAGGCTCAAAACTCCCCAAATTCATTTGGTGCTGATCCCAGGGGTTTCATAGTGTGTTTAGTGCATATGTGCAAGTCTCTGGAGTAGCACATAGAACTGCCACTTCTCTGTGCCTGATTTTTTTGGAGAGTGGTTTACTCCCTTAACCTTCTGAATTTCTCTTCTCTGTTCAGGAGCATGGCTCACAGTATTCTCAGTCTGACTCTCCTTAAGCTCTCACTAGTGCCTAGCTGGGCCATCTCAGTAGGCAGCAAGGTGAGATTCAGAGAGTAGAGAAGGACTTCATCATCTGCCCTAATGATGGGGACTAGGTGAGGGGACAGGAAAGCCCCATTCCCACCCATTACCTTTAGCTGCAGCCACCACTTTATTTCTAAAACCATTTCCAATGTCTGGCACCAAAGGACTGTATGATTCACTTGTCTGTACTGTGCGTGTCAGCCAGTGTTTGTGCTAATGGTAACATAATGACATAAAAACTAATAGCTCATCTAGAAGAATTAAATTGGTTTATTTTTCTTTTTGAGTGTATTACAGCTTTGCTTATGAGCATTAGACTGATTGAATCCTGGCCTGCAATATTACATCTGGACATATTATCCTACAACTGTAAAACTTCCATCTCAACCCCACATGGGCAAAAATTAATTAGCATGTTTGCATAAACAGAAGACAGCAAACTGTAGTGTCAGTTTAAATAGGAATTATCAAATCCTAATTCTGCATTTCTGGGCTGGTTTCCTGATTATGGGCAAAGATCTGTTAAATTTGTTTAGTGATTGCCAGCTGTGATTTGAGGCATGTTTTCTGAACAGAGATGCAAAAAATATCATTGCCCAGTAATTAAGTACAACATTACCTTTGGGATAAAGTCCCTCAAATGTTTAGTAGGCTACTTTGGTATATTAGTGCTGTTTGTCTGGGATAATCAAGCCCTGTTTGAAATTTATTGTGCAAAAATGAAAATCCACACTCCATTTAGCTCAAATTCCTACTTCATGTTCTATGGGGAGAAGAATCAATACAAAAGAAGAAAATGACCCATATTTTGTACCCCCTCTTCTGGGGAGCTTGACATGGTATTGCTGACCCTGCTGAGAGCTGAGAAAAGCCCGTGGTTTTGCTGACCCATGCAGAGCGTGGAGTCGGGCAGTCTGCCCCAGGAAGGTTTGCAAACAACATCAGCCTCAAGAAGGTGGAGTGGTGCAGGGAAAGCAGCTTCCATGGGGCACAAGAGGAGAGACCACAGCTGCTCTGAGGCCAAAGGTAAGTAGCAAAGATGGCCAGTGAAGGGGGGCCATAGTGGGACTTGGAGGTTCCAGGGGCAGTCAGCCTGCTCCAGCCCAGCCCCTGGGGAAGGGCCAGTGCCCAAGGCAGTGTGAAGAGAGGAGAATAATTTGACAGCAGGATTATCAAAGAGGTGGTGTCACTAGAACAAAACTAGTCAATCTGTTACAAGTAGGAGGTGTGGAGTGAAAATATGAATGTCTGTCTTTTAAAGGCAGAAAGGACCCTTTTGATGCTCTTCTGTGGCCTCTTACAGCAATCAAGACACATCTGCAGTATTAGAGCAGATAGGACTTCCAGGTCTGACAGAAACAGTCCTAGCTCTTATCCTCTGTCCCTGATGCTAATTACCTTCCCTGTTAAAAAATTCCTGTCTTCTTTGGTTAACTGCACAGTTTCTAATTAATTGTTCCAAAACCAGCATTGCTATAGGGCTTTGTTACGTATTTGTCTGCAGACCACAGACCACATTATATTAGTTACCAGCTTGCCCTGAAGAGATGAGCATCCTTCAAATATCCTCTTTAACAGGTGAAGCAGGCCACGCTCCTCTGAGTGCTGAACATGAGCATCTTGTCAAAAGCTCAGTTCATTCCCGGTCCAGTTTTTCAACATGCATTTTTCAGCACAGCACTGAAACCAGGGTGCCACACTCCTGCCAGTACCCAGGGTGGTAGCTCTGCAGAGGGGCTGTGCTGTGGCCATGGAGTAGAAAAGGGAGATGGCATTAGCCACCATGCCCCTACCTCCATGCCTTCCCTCTTTTTGGGGAGCCCCAGGTTTCCCTTCATCCCTTTCCCCACGTGTGGAGCACACTTGACACTTGTCCCAGCCCCTGCTAACCTGGGGGAGATGCGTGGAGACAGAGAGTCTGTGTCAGCATCTCTGCCCTAAATGGTCCTAAGTGTCTGACACAGAGACATTGATTTTAAACACAGTCTGCTGCACCCTACAAGAGCCAGGAGCTTTGTAAATGCCTTCTAGTCCATCTGCACTGCCTGCTGTGCAGAAGCTGTTTACCTCTTGTGTAGACCCTTGGGATGCAGGAGGTTGTCAGAGCTCAGAAGAAACGTGGGAGGACCTGCCAGAAGGGTCAACTGCACATTTACTTCAGGCAATCTCAGAGCTCTCATTTTGGGCAGTAGGGCTATCTCATCAATCCTGCCCTCCTCACTCTGCCTCAGGCATCAACAGGGTGCTGAGAACAAATACGAATGTATAAATGCAGCCTTGGCCAGGAGTGAATCCCCATTCTGGGAGGGTAATGCACAGAGTAGGAAGATGTGTTTTTATTAACTTCAGGGTACAGGTCAAATAAAAAAAAATCTTACATGCAGTGGAGCTGCTCCCTGTGATACACAGTGCTCCCGTGATGTTCTTGGGGACACTTGTACTGTGACCCCCTTGGTGACGTCTAGTTATTAAAATGAAACTGAAGCTGCAATTTCCTATTCAAGATGAGGCAAGAGACCTCCATGGTACTGAGGTAAGGCAATGTCCTGAGGCAGGCAGCGAGGTTCCAGCTCTAAACAATCCAAAACCCTCTGAGTATTTGCCAAGCTACTGATAATTTTGATGGTGCAAGTATTGCTACCTCATCTCACAAAGGAGGCTAAT